TAAGACACATCATGTCTTGTTTCGAGCACAACACTGCGTTGCCCCTTCTTGGCGTTGGAACTGCGAGTGTAGGTGAACTCAAAGGGTGGCGTGCCCCAGAACTCAAACAGAATATCCACCTCGTTGCCTTCGTGTATGTCCACCCGGGATTGTTTACCACGGCTGATCTGAACACTGGGCAGCGGGTGGATAGTCTTGGGGATGTTTACCGCAGCACGGCACTCGCTGGCCTTGTCCGAGATGCTAGTGATGACGAAATCGCCAGGCTTCTCCGCAATACGGCGGAAGTTGGTTGTTTGCGACTTAGCATTCCATCGGCCGTTGAAGTCGTATGAGATGTCGAATGGAGGTGTACCAGACAGAGTATATGCAATACGCTCGCCAACGCAATAGTCGCGTCGAGACTCGAGAGGGTAGATGGATGGCGCCTCGTAGAGGTGGATCTGCACCGAGGGCCCTCCAATCTCGTACTTGCGCTGGCAGCCCCGAGCGTCTCTAACAGTACGAATGCGAACCTGCTGGGCACCAAGACGGAGGTGCTGACGAGGAATCCTGATACCATACGTGTTTGAGTCGATCGACGGAATTCGATACGTCTCGGCGGGTGAGCCAGCTTGATGCTTGATCTCAACCTCGACATAAAAGGGAGCAACTCCCGTAAGCTTGATCGGGATCCTGTCCTCGTGCTCCTGCTCTTCCATGCAATACTTGAACGACTGACCTGGCTTTGAAAACCCGGCAGCAGGCTTGGCATTCACGCGCTGCGTAACAGTAAGAGGACTGAAGTTCTTATCGCTATTGTAGAGATTATCGGCAAGAGCAGAGAACTTGTAGGCATAGTCGCCAGCCTTGGTGGTATCCATAGAAATGGCTGCCTTGGCGAGGGCGGCGTCGAAATCCTTCCGCGTGAATGCCTTTGCGCCTTGGAATGACTTGTGGGTAACCTCATATTCGACATGATAAGGGGGTGATCCTGTAACTAGTCAGCGAGAATCTCGGGTTAAATGCTGCTGGCTGCTTACCTTTGAGGTTGACCTCGAAGCCGTCAATGTCTCCTTCACAGATGTCTTGCTTGACCAAGGTATTGCCGTCCGAAGTGATACTGGGAGACTCCACGATCGAGATCTCTGGTCTAGGGAACCAGCCCACCTCGAATTGGGATGCTGTTGGCACGACAGATCCAGGGCACTGGCTGTCTCGCACATCCGTCAATTCATAGACGCCCTGTGACTTGACAAGCAGGTTGTCGTTGGCGTTGTTGGCGCGCTTGGTCAACACTTCGCCATTACCGTTGAGGTTCCTGTAGCTGATCTCGAAAGGAGGTTCTCCCTCGAGACGGAGGGGCAGTCGTAGGTGAGTATCTTCCACGGCCATGATCTTCTGCTTATGTTCGACAAAGCCAAAGGCGGCTCTAGGTTGCTGGCGTCGTACAGCGATCTTGACTTGGTCCTGAAGGAAAGTTTTACAGCCTCGCTTATCCTGGACACTGCTCAACGCAAGAATATACTCTCCGCCTTTGCGGAGGGTGTTGGTCTTGATCCTGAAGCTATTCTCTTGAACACCAGTGACTCGCTCAGACTTGCGTTTACCATCATGAACGATCTCCCATTCCAGATTGAAGGGAGCCTCACCGTAAAGGAGGGCATCGAGTTCAACTTCCGAGTCAAGACAAGCATTGATAACACCGGTGGTACTTGCGATTTTGGCTGAGGCGGCAGGCTTCACAACCTGTTCCAAAACCTTGTCCTCGCCGGTGAGAGGCAGGTTGTCATAAACAGCGTCATCAATGGACTTGAAGACGTATTTGTGGTGACCTGCCATCTTGGGCACCAGTTCCAGCTGAGATCGCAGACCAGAGACGCGGTGAGATTGCTTCTCAATATGCCCGTCACTGGTAACGATGTCGTACCGAACAACAAATGGCGGTGTTCCAACGAGATCCAGGTCCACCCGCAGTCCAACCGAGTTACCTGCACATTTATCGGGGATCTCCTCTGAGCGAATCGAGAGCGAAGGCTCTAATGGGTTTAGGAGAAGGCATGAAGACGGCTCTTTGACCTCACCCTTGCAAGACCCGCTTGACACGGTCTTTAAAGTGTAGAGACCTGGCTCTGAAACAAATGGCTTATCCAATGCGTTCTTAGCGTTATAGTTTCCAATTGAGACCTGATCGCCATGCTCACCACTGTTGGTGAGCGAGTTGATAGGCGAGAAATCCCACGTGACCTCGTGGGATGTATCGTCTTTCGAACCGGCCAGAGAGAAGTCTACAGGAAGCCTGACGGAACGGCCCTTGGCAACCTTGAAGGGATTACGTAGGTCGCAACCATTCATGCTCGCCCTAGGTCGCTCCTTGACTCTGAAGCCGTACTTGAGACCCTTTGAGCGGGCCTTTTCATCCTCTTCCAAGTCGGCGTATTTGACAATGTTGTCGAAGGCATCGCGCACCTCATCGATCGAGTATTCCCACTCTCCAGCAGAAGTCATAGACTCGTTAAGACCAACAGTCACCTTGGAAGGCCGCACCCAAGTTATATCATCCTGGCTCTCCAGAACAAGACTGGAAGAAGCCGTAAGAAGAGGCGATGAGAATCCATCAGGCTGGAGACTCTGGAAGTGGAAGCTGTGATCTTTGCCATTGATCGTACGGCTGTACACAATCTTGAGAGGAGGAGTACCGTAGACGTCGAGGGAGAGATCAGAAAGCTCTTGAATGCAGCGCTGGGGATCTGAAGACGCTCGAATTCTTGCTTGAGGGCAAGGCACCACATATGTATCCCTGGTGGCGCGCTGAACCTCTAGCTTGTACTCGTCCAAAACCCGTCCAAGTCGATAGACACCCGGTTTCTTAACCGGATAGTCCCACTGAAAACCGGACGTAGTCTGATCGGCAGTATGTTCTCGAATTTGCTTGGCTACCCTGTTGACCTCCCGGTTTGAAATCTTGATTATTTCTTCCTTGTTCGTTTCGAGGTCAATGCGAACCAATTCAATTTCGGCAGGGATGGTGGCATTAAAGTAGATAGGCAGAGATGCGACATTCTTTGGCTTTGCGCCCAGGCAGAACGGAGCTGCTTCGGGGTTGAGGATTGCAGAACCTTCAGGCAAGATGTTGATAATCTGCTTTCCCATGATGAGGGAGTGGTTGTTGAGAATGGTCGAGACTTTGACATTATGCTCGGAAACTGATAATTCACGGTCGTAGAGAACTTTGAAGAAGCCGAATAGCCACGAATGCAGTGGGATCTACACTTGGGTTAGTTTTGCTAGTCAGTATTGTGATGGCGACCGAGAGCTTACAGGAATATTAAACATGAGCATCCAGTTGAATGCCAGCTGTAAGACGAAGATTCCGGTAACAACAGACTGGGAGAGCTCAAGCCAGGGTATCCTCAATTCTGGTACACCAAATAGGAAGATAAAGTCGATAAAGATCCATTTCAGGAAGAGGAGCCAGGAATAGTCGCCATCTTCAACCACCTGAAGCCAGTCATAGAACTTCCAAGCCCACAACAAGAAGTAGACACCAAATGCATAAAGACGTTGTTGGGGAGCATCGAGAACGGTCAGAGGAATGACAGGCTGGCTAATGGCGCCCTGGGGCTGCGTCTTCTCAGGTGCAAGAGGGAGAGAAGGTGACCTCGCTGAAGAATCCCTTCCATATGACGGTGAGCCTGCTGAGCTAGGAGTCTGTGGATTGTTGTGTCGTCGAGCAGCGGTAGCTGGGGTAGCTGGGAACCCAGACCGCAGGCGGGGAGTCGATGTGCTCATGGCATTCGCATTACGGAGAAATAGACGCGCCTAAAAGAGAAATCAATAATTGGAAGAACCGAGTCGCAGCCTGTAGATGATGGGGCGACTGGTCGTTGCGCGTTGTGAGGTGCAAGGTTGGAGATTGGTTGTCGCAGTTAATGTTTTGATACTAAAGTGAATGTAGTTTTCACGGGTGGATGATGGAAATTCCTTTGGACTGCGTCACGTCTGGTCTGGCTGTACTGTACTGAGGTGGACGCGACTGGCCCCTGCAAATTGGAGCTACAGTGGGTACTGGCCAGTTGGCGCCTAGGTAGGTAAGCTTCAGTACCTAATAAGGTACCTACCTACCTCTAGGTGGCTTTGCAAACGCTTTCGGACATTGAGCTGATGAGATTGAGTTTGATGAAGGGAGGGTGATGTACAAAGAGGCGTTTTCTTTGATAACAACAATCAACCGTCTTCCGCCGTTAGGTGGGTAATTAATAAAATACAGGTAGAAATATCTTTACGATATGTTCATGCATGGTACTAATTGGCTGATAGCTATGGTTTTGGGCTAACAATGCAAGTAAACTGAATGCTTATTGGCTACAACATGAAGCTGTCTTCTGCTGTCTTTATGCTCATTATCAACTTCATCTTCATGCAACATATGACAGTTCTTTTTGAAGCCTACGATGAATTGATAGCTCAACAGAGCAAATCCTGCTAGCTCACAGGTATATATTTACCTGACGTCTGCGGACGCCCCTCTGTAGGGATATGTTATCAAGACTCTAATGTGCTTTATATGTAGACGCACCACCCTCTCCGTTGCTAAGCACTGCATACCGTTGTCAGAGGCGGACAGGTAGCTACCGATGATGATAGCTTGAGCTCCTTTCTTTCACCCACGCACAAGGTGAGGCCTAGAAGCCCCTCTTTGCTTGGGTACCTTACCTACCTACTTGTGCCTAAGGGTAGGTAGGTACCTTAGGTAAGGTACCTAGGTATGGATTGGATTGGAAGTTTGCATGCACTGCTTTATTGTTTTGGCAGGTAAAGCATCCAGCGCACAAACACCAGAAAGACATCCAAGTCTCACCATAAAGCCTACCCAGACCACCCCAAATAACCATCTCTCTCTCTTTCTTATTAGTTTCACTTGGGCCGGGTAATCTTATCTTGATACTCGCAAGATCTTCTCCTCCCCCTTCTCCTTCGTCTGCATTTTCCCTTCCATCACCGTCGATAAATGTTCCGCCATGAACGACGAGCTGCAAGCTGACGACAATGTTCAGGGCGGAAAGTCTCTTGAAGACGCGCCCTTTGTGCGTCGATCTACTCGTCTAGCTTCCAAGCCTCCTACACAAGTCACAATGAGTCGTCCCAGGAGGAACCCGAAGCGCAAGGCCAGCGAGACCAGCGAGGCAGCAAACGAGTTGAATCATCGCCTAAATTCTGATGAACTCCTTGATGAAGCCTTAGCTCCTCTGTCACTCAAGGATGTCGAAGATTGGGAAGGCTGGGTAGAGCTTGAGTCAGAACCAGCCTTCTTCAATATCATTCTCCGAGACTTGGGAGTTTGCAATGTCAAAGCGCAGGAGATCTTCACCATCGACCAAGATTCACTCGCACTTCTCCCGTAAGACTCCAATAAGCAATGGCTTATACCACAGCATTTGCTAACATCTCTTAGACAGCCGGTATACGGTTTGATCTTTCTGTTTCAGTATCTACCTGGGCTCGAAGAGGAGAGCGAAGAACAAGATGCAACAGGTGTGTGGTTTGCGAATCAGGTAGGTAACAGAAAACCTTCAAATATCCTTTCTGACTATGAATAGACCACAAACAATGCATGTGCGACTGTGGCCATGCTAAACATTGTTATGAACGTCGAAGGAATTGACCTCGGTGAAAAGCTCCGAGACTTCAAGGAGTCAACCAAGTACCTCAATACTGCACTACGAGGCCATCAAATCAGCAAAAATAACTTCATACGCAAGATACACAACTCTTTCACCCGTCGTATGGACCATCTCAACGCTGATCTGTGTCTGGAGAACGAAGCATCAGACGCAAAAACCAGCACGAGCAGGAGGCGTACAGCAGGAAAGAAAGGGAAGAAGGCACCTCCACGAAAAAAGAGATCCAATACAGATTATGGATTTCATTTCATTGCCTATGTTCCCGCGGGTGGTTATGTGTGGGAATTAGATGGGCTCCAGTATAGGCCTCATAGGCTGGGTAAGCTCTCTGCAACTATTTCAGGGACTTAGCTAATCTCGTCCATTAGATCTCGTTCCTGATAATGGCGATTGGACAAGTGTGGCAAGACCACAAATCGAAGGCCGAATGTTCCAATATGAAGAGAGTCAGCTCTCTTTCAACCTTCTAGCTCTGTGTCAGAGCCCGCTCACTGTCTACGCACAAACTATTGCCCACGCCGCTGCATCCCTTCAGTATCTACTCAAGAACACCGAATCTCTTCCCACATTCAAGGACCTCATCTCTGCAGAGAAACCTCCTCTGGACATTGAAGACGAGTCGCGACTGTCCGATTTCAACCTCACCAAGGAAGATATCATGAACGCTCACGTTCCAGACGCTCTACAGGAAAAGCTTAAGCGGCCGGGTTTCGACAGTCAGAGTGCTTATGAGCTTCACCAAGAGCTTGTTGTCGAAGTCAAGGCTGCCATGGGCGAGTACCGCTCAGAATTGATGGCTATTTCCGATGATGAGCAGCGGGTAAAAGGTCGAAAAAAGGACTACGGACCTGCCCTACACAAGTGGATGAAAAAACTTGCCGAGAAGGGTGTTTTGGAAGAAGTAATCAAGGCGACATGATGTTGTATTCGGGTCACAAAGAGCTTAGAGCGCTTAGAACATATGTAATACCGGAAGAGTCTACTCACTCATGCTATTGAAACTAATTCCATTGTAGCAATACTTTGTACACCTTTTCGCTACGTAAACCACCTGTGTCACAAAATATGATCTCCTCTAAAGAGAGACTGCTCGCCGTCCATCATAATAAAGTCTTCCGAACACCAAGCATGCATTCCGAAGAGTAAAAATCGGGATAACCAACATGAAAGAAAAGATTCTCAACACCCTTTAATCGTCTGGGTACTGCTCCGTAATGTTGGACACAAAGGTACAAGTCCCAGCATCAAATCTCTTGAAGAACTTTCCAGCCTGAGGAAACAAAGATTCCGGGACCTCTCTCGGATCCTGAATCAGCACAATATTGTCTTCTGCAACAACATGCCGCTCGGGGCCTATTGTGCGTCTATATTTATACGTCAACTCGGGAATGAGGACTAGAGTTGTAGGCGACTTACAGGCAAGTGTAAAAGGTTTGGTTTCGGGGACGTACCCGGTTAGGTAATTCTGTATCGCTGTTATCGTCCAGCGTCTCGTCAATAGCCACGGTGTGTGGCATGGGCAAACGCCTCGTACCCTGGTCGGTCCACCCATTAACAGCACCGATCCAGCCATATCGTCGGTGTCTAAAGACCTGCCCAATCTTGTAGAGAACATTTTGGGTTCGCGCGTTGTTCCTGTGAAAAACAGGTGGTGGAACCTCATCAAACTCATCTACAAGACCTAAAACCTCGTGAGGGTCTTCCCACCTGCGAGGATTGTTCCTCATGAATCTCTCACGAAAGGGGCCAAAGCGATCGTACAAAGGAAATATGTACTTCTCAACAAGCCAGGCATCTACATGCCAGCTCTTTGCAAATCGGTTAAGGAAAGGTTCCAAAACCTCGTCCCATTCAAAGGAGTCGACCGGTGTAAGAAGAAGAGACGCCCAGAGTGCGGAGTAGAGGGACGCCTCTATATTGGCTGGATCATTGCCGGTGATGAGTCTGGTAAGCTCGGGGTCAGCCTGCTCATGGGCGCCAATCACCCTGGCAGCAGTGGCTCTGATATTGCGCGCTGTCCGCATGGCAAGGGCGACAGGGTTTACGGGAGACAAGAAGGTGTTGGTGCTCGACTGCCAGCCAAAGCGGGACAGCAAAGCCTGTAAATCAGCCAGAGGAATCTCCTCACTCGAGCCATATGGATCTAAGTACATCCTCTCTGGAGGTGCGTGGTCCTCTGTAACAGGGGTGCTGTCTAAAGTCTTTCCTTTATCTGCAAGCACTATAGCGTGTACATGAGTTGGAAAAGCGCAGCATTGTGCTTCGACACCTAAACGCTGAGCGAGGCAGCAAAAGATGGCGCTCGAGATGATAGGAATCGAGTCGTGATCTTCATGGCGCAGAGCTTGGCCGATGAGACAATTTCTGAGATTTCGATAACTTGTCTCAGGATTCCGCAAACCTGTGAGGTTATTCATTCGGAGCCATCGGTTTAATTCCAGTGCCTTTTGTCGCGTTGACATTTCACCAATGTCTGGTTGAGTCTTAAGAAACTCGGTTGCCAGATTATCAAGAATATCGCTAATCTTGACACAGTGTTAACCGGGGGAACCCTGGTCAGACGAGGAGTACTTACATCATCCAAATCGCCGGGCTGGTCGTGCAGAACGAATAAATCGAACGCCCCCAGAGCGCGCTCAAGGCTGAGGCTCTGTGGTTGGCCGCTGTGAGTCGAGGTCATAAGTTGAACGTTGTACCACTCGTCAATGGCGATAGATCTGTGGATACTATCCAGCAGGGATTGACTGTAATATCTAAAAGATCTGGATAAGTATTCGAACGGGAGATTAGCGATGAGGTTGCTCACCGTCGAGCCAAGACATCCTCGGCATTCTCGTCTGCTTTGCACTGCTCTAGAAGAAAATCTTTGGCGTCATAACCAAGCTGGCAAACTTTTTCATATCGCTTTAGGCGGCCAACTTTGGTTACAAGGATCTCGCCCAAGAGACGTTTAAGCTGTTCATTGCGGAACTTCCGTAAGATGAATAATTTCTTCCACGGTGTATCAGACGCCCTACCCTTTAAACGACGCTGCAGGTTGTGCTCGGGATGCCAGAATCTAAAATTGCTTCGACAATGATATTTCCACAGAAGCGGTTCATTAGCCAGATGCCTTAGGCGACGTGAGACAAGTTGGAAATTAGAGAGGTTGTCTTCTGGGGGGATATAATAGAGCAAATGTTGAATTATCTCGTCTGGCACTTGGGAAAAGAACATGGCGGGCCTCTCGATGAGGCAGGCAGTCGGTTATCGGGAGAACTGTGATGCGGTGTGTGGTGTGAGTGGTGAGTGGTGAGTGGTGAGTTCAGGTTGGAGGTTGGTGGATTGTTGGATAAGATTGGGTGTACAGAGTAAGGTAGGTAGGTAGTCACTGTACGGATATGAGATCTTTTGCTGATCGGGCTGTCGCTGTGTCACTGAAGTCCGCCGATCAACCGTATTCAACATGTCATGCTTTCTCCCCTCTTCGTGCTCATCAACCTATCGCCTCATTCTTTCAGGCGATGTTATCATCGTTAGGTAGGTCTGGGGTACTTACCTACGTTAGGGCGAAGAACATTAGCGGGGTTAGGTATGACCGTGGAGCAATGCTGAGTCATGCAAACATTGATATAATTGGGTACTGACAAATGACGGCAATTGGCTGCGATTTGTTTTGACTCTAGGCCGGAAATGGATACCAAAGTAAACAAAAACGCGCGTGGTAAGAGTGTCTGGGTCCTTCTTGCCCGACTTACAGCGGTAAGATAGCGCGCTACCTTACAATTCGACGCTACCTTACCTACACATCTTTACGACCTCTTTATCACGACCTTTTCTTATCGCTAACAACAAACACATCCAGAGACGCCCTCGCAAGACTTGAATGCTCTAGATTGCAGAGCGTTTCACACTGTTTACATAACATGCATTGCGTCTCTAATACACGGCATTTCTAAACTTTATACCGCCCACGTAACGACCGCCATCATGCCCGACTTTGGCGGCGGCGCGCTCGACACCCCACGAACAAACATTGGGGATGCGACCTACCTCGGACAGCCCGACTTTGCCGATATAACACAAGAAGCATCCTTTCAGTCACCTCCAAAAGAGGGCAATCTCCTACAACAACTCCGCAATGGCCGCTCTAACGGCATCAATCTTCGCACCCCGCGCCAGAGAGGGCCCTTGGCCGACCGCCGAAACCTTCCCCCCAGCGTTGGAGGTGCCGAATTCACACCCTTACTCAAATCAGCGACAAGAAATAGCGTGCGACGCTTCGGCAAAGAAAATGGCACCGCGGTACCCAACACACCGGCATTAGACAAGATCGACGAAGGTGACCTGACTCCCGTCCCCCGCGGCGACACGTCCATCTACCTAGGGTCGCGTAACCAATCTTATATGGAGAACACTATTCCCGAGGTCGATACCAGTAGCGCTGCCTCAACCCCGTTGGCTGTTCCCCGAAGGAGAGGCGGTGATAAGGGACCCCTCCAGGATGGTAATCAGCTTTCGCTAAGAGAGCAGGAGAATGTGATTGATAGGATCGAAAAGGAGAATTTTGGACTCAAGCTCAAGATTCATTTCCTTGAAGAGGCGCTCCGAAAGGCTGGGCCTGGCTTTAGCGAAGCTGCCCTCAAGGAGAACACGGAACTCAAGGTCGACAAAGTCACAATGCAAAGAGAACTTCACCGATACAAAAAACACTTGACAACCGCCGAGAAGGACTTGGAAAGCTATCGGCAGCAAATGCTAGAAGTACAAGAAAAGGCTAAGCAAAAATACGCCAACCAGAGTCCTCAGGCCGAAGTTGAGAAGCTGCAGCGCATATTAGAAGATCGCGAAGCAGATATCGAAGACCTCCAGCAACAGCTACAACAACAGAAAGGGAACAGCGTCCAGGTCGAAAAGCTGCAGGACGACATCGGTGATCTCGAGGCTGACATTCGGGAGAAGGATCAGCAACTCACGGAGCGTGAGGACGAGCTCGAGGACCTGAAGGAACAAATGGAAGCCCTCAGAGATGCTGTATCAGAGGCGGAAGAGAAAACCAAGGACGCTCAACGAAAAATGTTGGCATTGGAGGAGAAGGCTCAACACAACGATGAACTGGATGATGCCAAAGACACCATCCAAGACCTTGAGCACAACATCCGCCGTCTCGAGGAGCAAGTTGAGGATGCCAAAGCCAAGATGGAGGACGCTGTGGCTGAGAAAGAGCGAGCCGAGCACGATCTCGAAGAGCTTCAGGATGATATGGCCAATAAGTCAGTGGTGACGAAGGGACTTTCTCGTCAGATCGAAGAGAAGGTTGCTCGTTTACAAGAGGAATTGGATCAAGCTGGCCAAGAGTATGCTACTCTGGAGAAGGAGCATCACAAGGTAACGCAGGAAAACAACTCCCTGCAGTCTACCGTCAAGGAGCTCAAGAAGAACCACGAAAAGTTCGATCGCGAACGAAATTCTCTATCAACCAGAATCGAGCAGCTTGAGGCCGACCTTCAAGCTCGAACTGACGAAAAGAACGTACTTCAAAGCCGGCACGATGCACTTGCAACTGAGTCCATGTCCCTCCAGAAGGATGTCCAGAAGCTAGAAAAGGAAATACAAGATCTCGAGGATGGTCTAGCGGAAGAGAGAGAGCATGCGCTAGAAATTGAAAAGGATATCCGGGGTCAATACAAAGCGGAGATGGATCGCCTCAACGACGAAATTTCGGATCTTCAGGCAGAAATCCGCGAAAAAGACAATCTTTACGATAACGACAGCGAGAAATGGGAAACGGAGAAGCAAAATCTTGAATCGGAACGAAATCGCGCCGAAGAAAAGGCAGCAGGTTTGCAAAGAACCATTGATCGCCTCAGGGAAGCCGAAGGCACACTCTCGGACAAGGAGTCAAAGTTACAAGCAGCTATTCAAAGCGAGAATGACCGA